GGTAACAGGGACATTCTTAGTGTACTCTTAGATGCCTGTAAAGCCAAGGGTAAGGAAGTTATTATCATCACCACCAACAAACTGCCATCTGGCCATCAGGTGACAAAGCAGTACCTTAATGTTCCTCCATCTCCTGAAGTTGAAGAGAGTCTGCATTACTTACCAGCATCATGCTGCATGTCGCCATATGAGGTCCAGCTACGAACGCCTCCTCAGGGCTCTTCAGCAACAACCTCTCCTCAACCTGGCAGCCCCCTTCGTGGCCTCAAGGATCCCCAGTGTTTAGGCTTAGGGCATGGCCTGATCAGATTTCAACCAGGTTCACCAATGCAACATCGAAGTCCTCTACGTGTTCCCGATGTGGATAAGCGACCTAACTTCCATCAGCTACACTCAGAAGCCTGGTCCAAAAGTCCTTCCCTGTTGCTCCAGCAGAGTCAGGCGTCCTCTCTGACTGAGGAACCAGTGGAAATTACTCCGGAGGAGGTGCTGTCTTTCAGAGTCGAAGAACATCCTCCTGCTATTTCACGGCACCAGAGCATTGATTTCAAAGATGCAAAAGGACTTGTGAAAGCATTAGAGATCTTATCAGGAAATGACAACAGGGGAGGTGGTGGGAAAAAAGGCTTTGGCAGAAAGATGTCATATGACAGTGCTGCAAGTTCATTATATTCTGTTTCACACCCAAACTTGCTTCAAGATAGTCTTGCCTTTTCCCATGAATCCAGACCTGCAGATGAAGATTCATCTGACTGTCTTACACAGCTGAATGTTTCCAGTCTGCAAAATGTGGTGCATCGGCGGAACATTGGTATTGCCCACTACAGTTCTGACTCTCAGTTGCAGCAATTCAGCAGCAGAGACAGAACCTCAAAGAGCAGTGGTGGTGCTGGATTGGCAGCGGAAAGACACAAGCTGGTCACCAGCAGAGCCTCCAATCTGTCGGGATCCAGGGAGTCCTTGGAGAGCTCGGCCCAGAGGCGAGCCACTACAGGGCTGGAGCGAAGAGGCTCAGGAGCTCTTCTTCTGGATCACATTGCCCACACACGCCCCAGATACCTGCCTCGTTTGAATCCTCATATTCCCATACCAGATATTGGGGTTAGCTCTAACTCTTCCTGCCCTTTGAGTGGAAGTACCAAGACACTGAACGGTGTTCTTATAGGCCCAAAACCTGTTCTACCCTGTGTACCTGTTTTCCCCAAGGATCTGAAAGCCAAGAAAATGTTGTGGAGGCGTCACTCAATGCAGAGTGACCAAATAAAGCAACTTGCCAACTTTGCGGAAACTTTTGGGCACTAGAAAAAAAAATCTCTCAGGAGAAAATATGTGTGCAATAGCTGTATTATAGCTATAACCCCATCTCTAATGCAAATTCATATGTGCTTTAAAAGTGATTATAGATTAGATGTGCTCACCTGTGTCAGTGTGTTGTTTTAGAGTAACATTTTATTATCACCAGGGCAGTTTGGAAATGATAATTATAAATACTTTAGTATGAAACATTGCATTCCAAATACCTTGAAAACAAATGTATTTAAATATTGTAGTAATTTTGTAAACAGTTGTGAACAGAACAGCCCTCTTCATTAATACTTCGGCCATCCAATCATATCAATTAATGCTGTATGTTTATTGGTGAGTCTGTTCTGAGAAAAGTGACTAGTGTTATTATATTAGATTAGATGAAACTTTATTAATCTCACGGGTGGGTTCCTCCGGGAAATTGAGTTTCCAGTAGCACAGTACCGACAGAAGTTGCATGTTACAGACACAATAAAGGGGAATGAGAGTAAGGATATAAGCAGTGTTGGGTAAGTTACTTTAAAATAGTAACTTAGTTACATTACTAGTTACTTCTATCAAAAGTAACTCAGTTACTTCAAGTTACTCGTTACTTTCAGAGTAACTAGTTACTAGGGAAAGTAACTTTGGTTTT